TTACAATATTTGGGCATATAACCGTACTTTATCTTTATCCGCTTCTCAACTACCTCACCATCAGACCTTTTTACCCCAATGTTGATTCTCTTTGGGAATTCCTTGAGCAGGTCCACCTCTACCTTAACCCTAGCACAACTAGGTCTAGTTTGATTTTTAGTTGCCATGTCCACCTGTAAAGGTTTTCCCACTGCTGCATCCTAAAGAAGTTTGGGGGTAGTGAAGGAAAGGAAATCCATGCTATGGCTGTTGATGTCTCTTCCTCCGGATTGAATAATGGATCCCACTTCAAAGTTCGCATTGGATACGACCAATTTTGATGTGTTAAGTAGAAAATTGGTTTCGAGAGCAGATTGACATAATCTTCCAAAAGTGTAGCCCTGATTAACACATATCTATTGGTTAGTAAACCAATATTACATTCCCCCTTCAGTCCACATTGTTTTGGTACTATTTTGCGTATTTCTTGTATGTCCGGCCATCCGTAAGAGAACTTTCCCACGACTGCATATTGGAGATTTTCGTTGACTATCATCTGATCTACCTCTGCTTGTTCCCATAAGATTCTTGGCTCTCCATGCAAGTACAATATTGGCTTTAGAGGAAGCGGTCTCACCTCTCCTGTTGTCGATCTAAATAAGCTCCCAAAAGTCTGCTGACCTGCCTCCATCTGAGGCTGGCCAACGGCCGTCGTGATCATGAGGAAACGGTGGTGACAACGGCTTTAGGTTACTGTTATTAAAAGTCCTCGGGGGTTAGTATAGCGACAGACTTGATACTACCGTTAAGCAATATACATAAGTGTAATGTCTTGACTCTAATAAAAAGTTATTTTTTTTCTTCAGAATGAACAAGTTTCAACTATCTGAGATTTTGAGAGCATTATCCACATGGCTTCTCGCACGTGAAAAATGTTAAGAGTTAATTGCATTGTTTTTTTGTACTTGAAATTTGTCGTTATTAATTCACAGGTCTTCATTGAAAAGTTCATATCGTCACTAGTGTATTTTCTTTCACTCAATTATCACTTGTTTATCAACATGAACATAAGGCTTTTAACACCGTTTTAGCACACACCAAGTCTCTAACTCATATCAAGGTTCAAAAGGTCTTTTAAGCATTAAATTTTCATAATACTACGATTAAATCAAGGAAAATTTAGAGCTTAGAAAATGATACTAAGCAAAATAACTATCATGGGAACATTGTAAAATATAGGGGTAGATTAAAGTGTTCATTTTATTTAAGCAAAATACATTTTAGAGTTCACAACTAAATTAATAGGCACAAAATCAACACCTAATAAGTAAGTATAAATCAAATCTTGTATGACCAAGTTTCCATTATACTTTATTGTAATTCTATTGAACGACTTTGCAATATGATTTTTTTTTATTTTACTCCCACTTATTGTGCACAACACGATCACTTGCTTTTTGTTGGGCATTTGTTGTCACAACACTTTTCACATTAGTGATGTTATAAAATTCTATCAAGGTTCAAAAGATTTGATTTTAATTACAATAAAGAATAGCTTAAATGGAAATTGAAGATATATACAAGTTCTAGTAACAAAATTTTAGTTTGAAATCCTTAAATTGTTAATGTTATTCTTTTGCATAGGGGGTCTAATTGTTCTGCATGAGTCATTGGCTGATGCAATCAAAGTGAAAGGTATATTGATAGTTAATTCATTCAATTATCTATCCATTAGAAAAATCATATGGGAATTAAGACAATTTAACTTAGGTCAGAATTTTCCAAAATTCTTTTTTATCATATGCTAGAGATGTGATCATCATTTAAAGATAAAAACTGAGATTTTGAAAAAAACTTTTATTTTGAAGAATAGTTAATTTACCTTAAGAACCAATTTATTTAGTAAAGGAACAAGATGATCCCTAAATAGAACAATCATATACAAAATACTCATATAATCCACCAAATAGGTTTCAAATTCAGATATAGCTAATTGATCGATTAATAGTTATCAATTGGCTTAAACAATTTCAAAAGGAGAAATTGAACCGAAAAAAACTCCTTAATTAAAAACTCATTAAATTTATGCATAAAAATAAAAATAAAATTGAACTTTGTATCTTATAATCACCAACGATAACAAATTCCATGGCATGGATGAAGTTAAATTCAAGTCACAAAAAGAAAGTTAAAAAATAAAAAAAAATGAATGGAGGGGAGAGGGAGATTGCAAAGATCGATATAACTGAGGAGCTAATGTGTTTGCAAAGATCAATACAACTAAGTATGAGGGAAAGGGGAGATTGCAAAAATCAATACAACCGAGGAGAGATAGAAAATTGAAAAGATTGAATAGAACTAAGGAAGGTGGAATTGTAAAGATCAATACAATTGAGGTGATTGATTTTTTTTTATCTGATAAAGAATTTCAATTGAGGTGATAGATAAATATACAAACAAAGATGATATTTTGTACGAGAGGACAAAAAAAGAGAAACCTTTAAATTATACTTAAGATCATCGTCTCTCCACTCCTCATGGCATTATGGTACGACCAACCCCTCGAGAATGGATATTGACATCTTTTTTAATCATGGTTTCTCTTGTTGATCAACATGAACAAAAAAAATTTAGCACTATTTCAGCACATAACAAGCACTTGATTTACACATTACTAATTTTCTTTAACTCTTTTTTTTTCTTCTATTTTAGAATACTTATATCATTGATTTTTTTCTGTTTACCAACCTTGAACCCTTGACTTAGTAGTCAGGAGAAAACTCCTCAACCAGTCAACTAGTATGATCAAGAAGGCTGATTAATTTTTCTTTAACTAATATCAAGATTTAAAAGGTTTTTTAGTATTAATTTTTTATGATACTGTGACAATTAAGAAAAGTAGGGAGTATAGACAATTGTACCAAGACAAATAAACTATCAAGGGAGCCTCGTTAAATATAAAGGTAAAGTAAATGCTCATTTTATTTCAGCAAAATGAATTTCATAAGTTCACAATCAAATTGACGGCTACATAACAATATCAGATACAAATAATCTCAAATTTTGATGACATATTTGAGTCTTTACCCTTTTTTAAAAAGAGAGGTTGCAAAGATCGATATAACTGAGGAGGGTGTTTGCAAGGATCAAAACAACTAAGTATGAGGGGAAAGGGGGAGGGGGGGGGGG